GTGGATGATGCCATTCAGCAGTCATGACGCAGCAAAAAATCCCACTGGGATTCGGGCACAAACTCAGTGGCTTTAGCAGATAAGCCAGTATTCCCATCTCGCATCTCCTCGGCTCATGGTAGCTCTGCGGCCATCATTTGCCGTCTCTTGTATGGGTTTTGACGTGTATTTGCTCCCCGATTTTCCAACCTTTATTTGGGTCCCAGCTTCCACAAAAGCCAGTAGACTGGAACTCTGGCTCACGGTTTTCAAGGGACATCTGAGATCATAACACTCATCCACAGCTTTTGGTCGGCCCGCAGCGTGCAGATCCTACAAAGGGTGCAAGGTTCGGCATGGAGACACAGCGAAGAGATCGTCACTGCATGTTGAATTAGAGGGACAAGCCAATGCAAAGCAATTCAAGAAGAAGTGTGCTGGTCGCAATGCACACAAGTTGGCAATCCTGTCCTCTCATATAAATTGCCTTCGGCAACCATGTACCAAAACGTCTCAGAGTGCTGGCCGAGTCAGTTCCCTCTATTTTTGAGCCAGCCAAAAAAACAAAGCCCCGCTTTGAGACCAGGAAAGTTTGTAGAGTGCAGCTTATCCTCAAATCGTCAACTGAGATAAATTCAGACTCGCCAAGGTTGGTCAGCGTTCTTTTTGCAACTTCGCCGCAACTAGCTTTGGGCTTTGGAAACAAGTTCTATCTTTCAACTTTCGAAGCATTAGCTATGAAAATGTATACAGTTGGGCCCTGGACTTGGAAGGTTCCTGGAATACATTGGGTCTTCTTAAACCTTACGGCGATTTGAGGCCCAATGCGGTCCAGTCTTTACTGATTGCAATGTGCAATTTAGTCGAAAACATCTTCACAGTCCTAGACCCATCAATGAATCGTCTATTTACACTGCAGAGTACAGTCTTCGTGCTCCACAGATCAAGACCCGCGGAGCAACTCAGCATTGAACTTGTGGAGCATGGTCTGTGCACGGCTCAAAGTGCTGAAGAAAGGTCTAGAAAATCAAGAAAGAAAAACATCTGTTCACCCAAAATCCAGTGTGAGTTGGAGACTGAATTTCCTTATCAACACACCTAGGTGGAGAAGCCTGCAGGTTGGTTTTCTTACGCAAACCAGATCCACATCTGCCACATCTGCCACATCTAACACATCTGTCCCTGGATCTGCCCCTACCTGCCAGTGTTGCGACGCGAGGCAACCTTTGTGCTTCGACTGCACCTGGCTCACATTGTGTCATGGATGGTCTGGCTCGCAAGTCATATATTATCTAATGCAGTTGAACATTCCAATATATCTTCATACATGTTGATATGGATTCTGTTGTATTTCTATATATATATATATATCCATGCATATGAGACTATTTGATATTATTTGATAAAGTATTCAGCTTAAATCGTTTCTTAAACCATCCGATTTTCTCTGATCTGGGATTCAAAAAATATACCCAGCCCGGATCATGTCACCGTTGTAAAAGTTCAATGGCAACTTGGCGACTGGACGAGGCGCCTCAGATAGGGCTTTGTCCAATGACAGACCTTCATACTCCATGAGGTACCTCGCTTCAAAACCACGTCTCAGGCCATTCCCCGACTGTACAAACTGTACAACAAAATGGGCATTTCCACTTCAGTGATTCTGACTCTGGATAGTACATTGGAGAGAAAAAATTGGCCAGTGTATTTCCCCATCATCAACCAACCGGGGTTGGTAGCATGGTTTAGCATCCATTGCAAAGCATCACAAAGCACCGAGAGATAGTTCCAACGAAACCTTCGAGCGCCGCACGCGCAAACCAGAGCAGGGCTGCGAGACACCCCCTGTGGCCCAAACATCTGAAGAATCCAAAGTGTCTTCTAGGATGCGATCCAAGATGTTTCATGCTTTTTCTCATTTTTCTCAATATGCCCCTATGTAAGGCTTCTAAGGAAGAGCTTGAGTCCAGCCTGCACACAGTGCACAAGAAGTGTATTGCTGGCATTCTTTGCCTCGTCCCGCCACAGAAACATGGAGAATCGGGAGCTCTTGCACTAAGCCTTTGTGACTCTAGGCCATGCAGAATTACACATAATTACTGTCTCTGTTCCCACCTTCAAAGTGCTTTTGATGTATTGAGTTGCCCCTCGCAAGCTCCGAAATCTCTGCCTGAAACGTTCGAAAAATTGGAGTCTGTCAACAGCCGCGAGCTTGGAGAAAACATGCCCTATCTTTAACAGAATATGATATTCCTCCATAGCTTAAAACTAACCCCCTAAGCAGCCATTCACCAATCAGCTTCTCCAGATGTTGCACCTCGTCAAGCTTTGAGCCTCTTCTTCCCGGTCTTGCCAGGGCAGCAACAAGTACCTTATCATCACGACATGTCGTGGTTGCGTCGTGGTCATTCATCGAAAAAGGAAAACATCATGAGGTCACTGGATGCCTTTGGATTCGTAGGCCGGAGGTACTTTTTGTGCCTCCAGCTGCAAAAGTCATCTATATATAAATGAAATGGAAATCAACGTTGGCAAACTACTGCAAACTGTGGCCCATCAAATGATGATCATGTTCCAGCAAAGCAGCCTCCAGCGAGCAATTGATCACGTGGGTAATTCCAAGCCTCGTGGCCGCTCTATGAAGCTAAAGCCACTGAACTGAACTGGACAGGCAATTATGGCAATGAGCAAGTGGCCTCTTCAGCAAAGGCCAATAGGCTGCATCGGCCATGTTTCCAACGTACCTTCAGTCTCAGAAAGGTGCTGCAAGGGAAACACGCTTCAGCTTTTTGTGTCTGAAGCCCATTCTGTTTGCAGCCTCACATTCAAACGCGGTCTGAAAAGGTATCATTATATTGAATAGTTTTTTGGGGGGTTGGAAGGTTTGCTAGGTGAGATGTCGGCAGAGAGGGAGAGGGAGAGAGAGCTTCCCACATGCAAGGTGGTGTTTGTCTGTGTATGTCCGCGTATTGGAAGGACTAGCAGACAACCTCCTGGGAAATGACTTGAAGAACAATGCGGCAGCGTTTTACCCCAAGGCTCGTGCAGGTGAGGTCTGATCATGTCCGTGCGAAGGCTGTTCATCGTCGCAATGAAGCCCTGGAAAGGCTGCTCATCAGGGGAAAGGGAGCAAAGTGCGAACCAACTCTTGGTGACATCCACAAGTCCATGGATGCCCAAAGACCTCAGTCAACTCCCTTTCCTCTGATTCAGAGGGTCCTTTCAACTACAGAACTTCATCCAACATAGCAGGACTTTGATCTTTAACCAATTTACAAAACTCCGCAAATGTCAATGCTGGAGGTTACCACACCCATCAACTAAGCCTAAGCTTTACTGGAAAACAAAAAGGAAAACAGGGAGAGAAATCACTTTGGAAAGGCATTGGACATCTCAAACCCAAGGTCAACACCCCAGGTCCTCGTCTCGGTAGCCATAGAACTCAGCTATTCGTTGCTGGTCCTTTCAACGGCCGGAGAGGCAGGAAACATCAGGAAACACACCTTTTGGTTAAGGCGAAAAGACACTCCCACCCGCGTCCTCAGCACTGGCGAAAGCAAAGCCAGCCCTGATGGTCCGGGATGTTTCATGACTTTTCATGTTGGAGTTTTGATAGAGACGTGAGATCTGCATGCGTGGATGTGCAGGTGTGGAAATGGTGTACGGATATGGAAATTAGAATGGCGTCAGTGGGCCTGTGAGCCTCATCAGGTGCTGAAGAGCTCGGCTTTCCGTGCACCCTGTGGAAAAAGCCAGGCCCAAATAGAAAGTCTGTAGATCTCTTCGAGCCTTGATGTTGGTGATTGATGGTAGCTGATGGTAGTTGATGGTAGTTTAGTTGGTAGTTTGTTTGCTGACTTCACTCAGTTGCAAAAGTCGACGTTGCGCCTTCCAGCCTTCCACTCGTGCTTCATCAGATTGTCGGAGTCACTTCGACTTCCTGATAGGGCACTGGTTGAGCGATCGGAAAAGATGCAGTCCAAATGATTCCCATTGACAGTCCTTTCTTGTGCACCATTGATAGATCCAATCGCGGGACCTCATTGCTGGGACGATTCTAACGGCTGCTGGTTTTGCCACATGAAAAAAAAAAAAACGCTGAGAGCTCAACCTGTGGTGGTCTGGAGGCCTTCAAGCTCAGAGGGAGCTTGTTGCACAGGCTTCACAAATGGCCATGCTAAGGCCATGCTAAGATGTCGTGATGCCTTGGAAGAAATGGTGCTTTTACGATTCTGATGCTACAAAACCTTGGGCGTCATCAGTTCTACAGGCAAGATTGCAAGTGACCTAGAAACAGTGAAATCTGGGCCATAGGGCTGTGCAAAAGTGCTTGAAAGCCACTGTGTTTCAGCTGCCTTCTGCTTCTGCAGAGCACTACTCAATGGAGTGGAGGGATCTGCGTCTGGAACTTCTGCTGGCTCCTTGAAGAGTGGCTTAAATCGCCTGCTACATTTCACAAGGGCCCAAACCCCGGGGTCAGAAACATCATGTGGGGCTGTCAAAAAATGGTGATTTCCCAATGATCAAACCACTGGACTTTTAAGAGACAAACATCATTTGCTGTCCTCTTCCTTCTCGATGGAAAGCTCAAGGGAGACCTCCGGCAATGCCGAGACGACCGGCTCACGTGGAGGTGGATCAAACCTGGCGAAGGTAAGTCAAACCTGGCCTCACAGCGTCCAAAGTCAAAGGGAAACCGGGAAACTTCGAAGATGACATTAGAATCATTAGAAATTGTATTTCATATGATTCATATCACTATGCAATGTCTGTGACACTGTACCCATATGTGTAAGATCTGCGTCTGGTATTGAAATCACTTCCTCAAAGATTCTCTTCATTGCCAGAACATTCAAGGGCATTCCTTCCATACTCTTGCCTCGCTGGTGTGATCGGCTTTTGCTCCAACCTCTGTCCTTTCCCTTCCTCTTTGGGCCTGCATTAGATGTCACAAAAACAACACAAAAACAAAAAAGAACTTGCAGCAGAACTTCATCTGGCTATGTCTGGAAAAAAAAAACAATCAATACCACATTATTATCATGATCATTAATACCACAATAATGATCTAGATGATCAATAATGATAAAAGTGATGATTAACTGACCTTATTGGGCAGCATTTTTTCAGACAAAACCATCTGCGAAACGAATCGATGAGGCGCCAACGTTGTCCCGAGGTTCATCGGCCGCTTGGCATTCCAACACCGTCGAAGGGTCGCCATGTGAGATGGGCGGACCTTCGTTCCAGGCTTAAAATGGGACGTGGGAAATGATATCATACTATACATATTAATTATTAAGATAGATATAATATATATATACATATATATATATATATGTATTTATGTATCTATATACATATGTATATACGTATATATCCGTGTATATATACATATATATATATATATATATGCACTTTGTAGAAGGCATCGTCTCCACATTGCACCTTGCACGATTCCTCTGCATTTGACCTCTGCAGGTCCGAAAGTTTGCCGAGTTCCCCACGGAATCTCCCAGTGCCGGCATTGCTCGACTGACACGGTATGAGGAGATCCACAACTCCACGACTGTGTCTGAAAATGGAGTATGTATCGTGGTGTATCGTGGTGTATCGTGGTGTATCGTGGTGTATACCCCAAATTTGTCATATTAACTGGGATGATGATAACTATGATAACCTACTACATGTTCGGGCACCCTATCAAACAAATCCAAACAGCTTTGGCCGGGGGCCAGGCCTCTCGGCAGAAAAAAATTGGACAAGCATTCAAGATTTTGAGGCTCTGTTCCAGTGTCTGATTTTTTCTTAGCTTATTTCTATCCGATTCGCTTCGCGGCCAAATCTATAGCTATGGCATCCCAACCTGGCGACGAGGCCATCAAAGGCGGCGCCATCCATCCCTTAGCGCTGGAAGCTCAGTCGCAGTCAGCGAGTCACGACTGGGTCCCTGGGTCCCTGGGTCCCGAACCCTGGCTCCGAACCTCATCTACCAGCGCGGAAATAGCCTGCAGGTGACTACAGATCATATAAAATGTGTATATTATCTGTGCATACAATGTCCTTATCTGCGGATTTAGCTATCTATTTAGCTGGCACCCCAAAGGAAAAATGGAGGTGCAAAAGACATATGTATATAGCGCCAGACATCTACATCCATTCCTGAAGGTTATCATTAGATTAGATGCGCGGATTTTTTTCTGCTACATCAGTGGGGGTTATCATCAATTATCCGTTTGGTTTTGTTCTAAGTAGGGGGTAAAGCACTACTTAGAACAAAATCCCCAACTTAGAACAGAAATCCCACACTTAGAACATTTTTTTCTAAGTAGACCTTCGGATCCCCCTACTTAGAACAAAACTACTCAGAACAAAAATTGTCATTGTTTGTTCTAAGTAAGGGTTAGAACAAAAAAAACGTGTGATTTTGGAAAACAATCTTGCTGATGCAAAACGAAGCTTTTAGTTGTTTATGTGTATATATATGTGTGTGTGTTATTGGTTATCTTGCGGGTGTACAGAAATGGGACTAACCACCAAATGTTATTGGGGGGAATATGGTGCATTAAAATTGTTCTAAGTGTGGGTTTCACCAACTGGTGAGGGTTTGCAATGGCTCTCGGGGCAATGCTTTTTCAGGGATGTCGGAAGAAAACCTAGTTCCTTTCATCTCTTTATATAAAATGTGGAGTGTGCTGTTTTCGCCTGAAACCCAAAAGAAACCCAACCAGGGATAACAATCAAGGGTTATTGGTATCCTGTAAGTTTGTTCTAAGTGTGGGTTTCACCAACTGGTGCGGGGTTTGCAATGGGTTTCGGGGCAATGTTGTACTAATATATCACATCAGTAAGTTCATCGGCAGCGGGTCCGTATCTTGGGCCCAAAACAACGTAAAACGCGCGAAATTAGACATGGTGTCAGGGGAATAACACACATAAAAGATCATGAAACCTGTTGTTTTGAATGGTAATGTTTGCCAAAATTGTTCTATAATGTTTTTTTTTCCAAGTGTGGGGTTCGGGCCGTTTTTGTTCTAAGTGTGGTGTTTTCTGTTCTAAGTGTGGATTTGGCAAATTTGTTCTAAGTGTGGGTTTCCTCGTGTGTTTTGATTTCCGATTTTTTTCCAAAATTTGTTCTAAGTAGTTGTCCGTCGCTATAATCTGTATATTTTTGTTGATATACATCAGCAGATCTATTTTGTTTATACGTCTACATGATTATATCATATAATACAATGTGTGTAATATATAATACAATATATATATAGTATGTATAATATATATTTAAAATAATAATAATAATGATATACAATATATAATATTATATATATATAATTAATATATATATATAATATAATATATATAATATAATATATATATAATATAATATATATAATATAATATATATAATATATAATATAATATAATATAATATATATATATATGTATAATGTATAATATATATATATATATATAATGTATATAATATATATATAATGTATATAATATATATATATAATATAATATATATATAATATATAATATATATAATATATATAATATATATAATATATATAATATATATATAATATATATAATATATATTATATATATTATATATATTATATATATAATATTATATATATAGTATGTATACATATATATATTATATATATAGTATGTATACATATATATATATTATATACATATATACATATATACATATATATATATATATATTTATATCACCCTCATAAAACCAACAGACCCAATGTTCTCGGAGTGTTGCCTCGCGAGGCAGTAGACCTCCCAGGCTCTGGAGCCATCGCTCCACCTGAGAACATCCAAGCATTACTAAGCTGAGCCAAGCTGTTTGTGTATAGAATGTTCATGAATTTTCTATACATATTTACTGTATATCTGTGTATTGTTCTCTATTGATCTTGTGAACATGTGTTTGAACTTTGCTGCCCAATTCTGTCTCATGATCACAGGGAATGAGGCAACAGCAACTGAAAGTACAGTGATTTTTCTGGCCAGGAACACATCAAGAGCCGAGAACAACGTGATATGATGATATGCAACATTATCATACATTGTCAACACCGTTTTCCACTTCCTATGAAGTCGGTCACGGAAAGCGAAAGGCAGTTGTTGATAGTTATGGTATGCCTCAGCAGGACTGAGCAGAGCCATTGCGGGTGGCCACGCTGGGCTACATCGGCTACATAGCTTGCAAGCCAATACACCTACAGGATCCTGCACGCTTTTCTTTCCAGCAAGAGTTTCTCCAAATGGCAGGCTCAAAAACAAATATGGCAGTGTGTCAAAACCTTGTACCCCTGGTGAACATCAAAATAGCTGGTAAATGGATGTTCATCCCACTAAAAATGGTATTAATAGGTATTGATCCATACCCATATGAATATGTCTGTAGAAGGTTGCCTTCATTGGCGCACTTTTGCAAACAAACCGAGGGTTCTGTGAGACTTTGTGACACGTTGAGAGAGGGTTAGCAGTCGTCAGCACATCTCACTTGGATGATCTGGCTTTACCTTACTTGCAGACACCAGCATCGTCGCATCGTGTTACTGCAAGGGAAAAAAATGCACGGATTACTTCCCCACGGATTGCAGACCTCCCAAGTGCATCCAAAGCACTTGGAGTTTGAAGGGATTCGAATATCTGATCCACAATGAACCGCAGCAAGTCCTGCAGAAATCTGCTTTGACAACAATTGAGTCAGTGCATTTTATACCGGAAGTCTCAAGAAATTCCTCGCCTCATTTTCCCAGTAAGAGAAGTGGCTGTGGATCGCACTTAGCATTTCGTTCATGCTTTCAAAAGCACTGACCTTCAGCAAGGCCAAGCCACCACAGGGCGGTCCAATTCCAAGCTACGACAAAGTTCAACAAATCTCTTCCTTTGACGAAGTGTGTATCCATTCAGAAAAGGCACCTGCAAAGCGTAGTCTACCCTATCCACGGTCACCACAGATTGCCGAGCAGGCTTCTCCTGAAATTTCAGGAAGCTGTCAGGGTAACAAGAAATTGGTTCGGATCGCGGTGCCTCGAAAAAGCTTGCTGGGTCCTGCCAAGATGGGTTGGTGCTTTCTGCATGCAGGTTTCAGTGTTCCTCACCATAAAAATCGTGCAGTGTTCAGTAAATAAATAATGTTCTGCTGGTCATGTCGAAATTGGAGAAGAGGTCGTTATGAACACAGCATCATCCTCTGTTGGCACCACCAAGACTTCTTCAAAGGTTTCTTGGCCCTGGCAAGCACCAAACCGTGTGGCTCATTGGCTCACTGACAGCTCTGAGAATGCAACAAACCAAGTTCGGATTTGCAAACTTGTCATCCACCCTTCCACACCTCCAAATCCCACATTCCACCGTCAGGGCTCTTTGACCTCCCAGGAGCCACAGGCATCATCTGGATGTGGCTGTGCCATGGCTGTGCCATGGGCAAATCTGGGCGCCAAACGCTGAGGTGGAGAACCAGCTCTTGATTTGGTGATTCCATCGCAATCCACCCTTGTGAGGCACTACCCTGCGGAAAAAACAACATGGCTGGAAGGAAGAACACAGGGAGCAAGACATAGCAAGACTTGCTAGGATTTCCTTGCTATATAATTATATAACTGGTAAAAGCATGGTAAAGTATGGTAAAGTGTTGCAAACTGCATGTAAAACTGGAAGCAGGCGAGGACCTTGGGTTCATAGAGGCATATGCCGGGTTCAGGAGTGGTTCAATCCGATACCTTGGCGGCTGGTTGACAGAACTCCGAAGCAGTGCAATGGGCATCTTGCGGGAAAGCTGCGCTATCGGATCATCTGGATGGAAAACATTGAACATCCTGCCACAGGTCTTATAAAAACTCATACAGCGCACCGCAAACTCCACCAGAGGTCCTCCATCCTCTGCCCTCACTCACTGCTGGCCATCGAACATCAAGCCCTCGAAAATACCTCAGCAAAGTCACCCAAGTCTCCATCTGTGGTCACTGGTCGTCTCATCGTTTTGGGCACCTGGATGCACGCTGCGCCTTCTGGGAAAGGCGGATGCTCAGGAACCTCACCATGTGAAACCAGGGGAGTCTCACCAGCAGCGCAGGTCATCACAGGTCTGTCTGGGTCTGGGACATACCCAGAGGGGAACCCACTGCAAAAAGGCATCGCGGCACAGGATGTTCGTAGGCAGCATGCCCTCACAGAAAAGGTCCCAGAGTGTGCAAAAAAAGGTGTACCCCGACCAAAGAAACTAGACATTTCAGCATGAGCGCAATGAACATCACAAGTGCCTCCTTTGGCCAGGGGAGCAATGTTGCCTTTGGCCATGTGATCCTTGCACGAGCAATCAAACAGTGAAACAATAGATCCGACGCTTGTCCATCATCAACTCTGGATTACTGAACATAAATAACATAAAACAACTCTGGATTACTGAACATAAATAACATAAAAGACTGTAAACATCTGTAAACTTTGGGCCCCGGGCTTTCAGTATCTTGATCCCTTTTCGGTCAATGCTACCAGGAGTGGCCACGTTTGCTGGCTTGGCCGGTGCAGAGACCATCGTCTTTTTCGGAGAGCCTGAAGTGTCCTGACACATCTCTGCGGTTTTTACTCGGTACCCTCTGGTAAATTAACATAGCTATGGAAAATCACCATTTTTCATGGAAAAGCTATGGAAAATGGTGATTTATAGTGGATTTTCCCATTGAAAATGGTGATTTTCCATAACTATGTTAAATTACCAGAGGGTAGTCACTCAAAAAGACTCAAAATCAAGAAGAAAAAAAATGCATCCATGAAGTCAGAGGGCCTTCGAAGGAGAGCAATGCAGGCCTTGAGGAAGTTTTTCCAACCCCTGGCGCTCAATGCCACTGGTGTCTGAATTTGATCTGTCAGCAATCCACGACATGCTCGGCTACGGAGCCTTCTGCATCAAGTCGAACATGATGACGGACCCCAGAAAATGTCCGATCACTGCAACCTGGCAGTCATAAAAGCCGCCATCAAACAAGTCGATTTCTCAAAAAATCATATCATACAAGTTAATCAGTCAATCAATGTTCACCACTGTTAATCAATCATGTTTTTTATGTGTTTTTCACATACGTTATATGACTCCTATGACACTATTCCATGAGATCGGAAAGGCAAGCTTCACCATGCTTCACCTCACCGGAGTAGTCAGAGGTGCGCTCGGAGAAAAGCTTCCACAGGTTTGCCTCAGTCGTGTCGAGTCGTGTTATTTCCTGATGCAAAGAGGTTGTTCAATGATGTTTAATGAAGGCGTATGAAGGCGTGCAGTCTCCCTTTGAGAGCTCAGGAGATTGCCATCTTTCTAAGAAGTTCTTCGTGTATTCTTTCCCGCCATTGATCATCCTGCCAACAAATGCCCAAATGAGTTCTTTCTGCTCAACTCAAAGACATGCAAATCGGTCCAGATACACCATGACATCGGCCAGGGCAAAGTTCGCAAAGTCCCTCAAAGAGCTAACCTCACAATCTCTGCATTTATAGGGTTCATATGGGTTCATTGACCGCACCCACAACCATCAACCCGAATCAACCCTCTTCACTCTTCATCTGCTTCACCCATCTTCACCCCAGATCTCAGGAGACAACTGACTTCAAGGTCACATTCTTGAGGCGGTTGCCTTGCAGGAAGTTCAGAAGTACGGTCTTCTGATGTCTTCTGTCTCTGGAAACGAAAAGGCTGCGCTTTGATGGGCTTTGCCTAGCCTATTCCGACATCAACGTGAATGGGGCCGTACCTATGAAACACCGCAAAAAAAATGACAGATTGACAAGTGACAGAAAGTGGTTCTCCACAAGTGAATTGAAAAACATTTGAAAAAAAATCAAAGACATCGATCGTCCAGTTCACCACTCCAGTGGAAGGAATTCAATCCGGCCAGACGGCTGAGAGCCCTCAGCGAAGCAGCTGCCACACTTCGCCAAAAACATCGCTGCACAGTGCTGCAGGCTGTGCTGTACAGTGCTGCTCGGCCTCGCCCTGGCCCTGCTCTTCCATCCTTTCAAGTTGATACTTCATGGCCAGCTTCCGCACCCGTGAAACTTCCTGCGCTGGGACCCAGGGACGCGATAAGGGGAAAGGTTTGGCAAAGGCAAAGGATGGCAAAGGGTTCCTGTCGCGTCATGACAAGTTAACAAGTCCTTGAAAAATTGCGAATTTTCCCCCTGCTGGGCTCGATGGTATTGGCCAATGCCGTGGACCACAAAAGTCAAGCACCTAAGACGCTGGCGGCTTCAGTTGAGGAATTCGGATTCAAAGGAGTGCTTGTCCACTTTGGGCCGCAGCTCTACTTGGTTGGGAAGCTTGTCCACTTCGTTCTCCTTGACAAGTTTGGAGTCTTCAAGAACCATTGCTTTGTGTCCAACGCATGTCGAACCCATACATGATTCCTTCTCTCTCCTTCTGCTGTTTTCTCCTTTCAAGTCCATCTCTCTGTGCTTGCAAAACTTAAACTTACAGTCCTCCGCACTTTTCTCCTCGCCAGCCACCACCCAGTACCTGATGGCAAGTTCAACCAGAAACCCTAGATTTCCAGGGCTGGAGCTGCAAATCCACGATAATCCACGTACAAAAAAACATGGGGCACCCGCGCCAAACCATGTGCTTCTCCCCACTACCTCCACCTCTGGCCACCTCCTCCTGAACTGCAGTAAATAGCAATTCATTTCCTCAGTCGCAACAGAACAAAAACCTAAGTTTCTGGACAAAACAACACAAACCTGATTTTTGTTGCAAGCTCAGCCCCTGACCTTGGCTTTCATCCTCCCGGTTGTGAAAATGAGACCCAAAGAGCCACGCTCACGAGATGTTTCATTTGGACCGTTTCGACTCCCATCAGAATCCAGTCCTTTGTAGACTCGTCGGACTTTGGAACAACGCCCAACTGCCAGTGACATTTTCTCGTACAGAGCGATGTGTTCATCTCAGAATGGCACATGTCTGTCGCTTTCGGAATGATTGAGGCCCAGTCCACAGAATACCGCTTTTGACCGCTCCCGAAGAACATCGTCAACGTACCTTGCAAGAACATAGCTTCCTGGAGCTTCCTTCCTCTCCCACACACACTGCTGCCAAATACTAAGATCAGTGCTTGAGTCGTCCTCCACACCTTCTGGTGGCAAAGCCTGCCGCATCCAAAACTACTTGACTTGAATTTCTTGACGTCACCGAAGTCGTTGAAGTGCTCCGATGTTTAAAGTCTGTTTCTACTTCTACCAGGTGGCCTCGAAACGCACATCATCAGTTCCCCTGCAGAATCCAAAGCCAGAGAAGATGCGGAACTGCGTTCCATGCGACCCAATTTGTCCCCAAAGGTTTTCAGCCTGTTGACGGGCACCAACAATGAACCCTTTTCCTGCAGTGAAGAGCCGCAAACAACACTTTGGCGGATACGACAGTGCGGGCAAACCATGGTGTCACTGCACAGGTCCTTGGCACTTCTCAGGCGCTGAAAAGCTGTCTCCAAGCCCTGCAGGTGAGTCACAACATGTCACAACCCACAACTCGCTCCGGGACAACAGCAGCTGGGACCTCTGCATCCTCTTCTTCGTAAGGCACCCAAGGACCTCCAATCTTTCCTGAGAACATCTGACCACATTTCACCTGAAAACCATTGAAAACCCCTCCGCTTAGCCACGATGGCAGTTGAGTTCAAGGCCACGAAACCATGAACTGCGGATGCACCGACGTTCGGGTTCATCCCAATAAACCGCCCTAAGCACAGCAGAATACAGCAGATGCCAGATGATGCCAGGATGAAATCAACAAGATCTGACGCTCCAAATTCAGAAACCAAATCTGCCTCAGCACTCTTCGTTCCAAATCCACATCGTACCTGCCTTGGATGAACCATGTAACCATGACAGTGCACGGTGATGTGTGGAGAGCAGCTGCGATAAGGTTGCAGCCATGGTCCACCGGAACAGCTTTGGGTAACTCCTCCAGCACTCCAGCAATGAAATACAAAAAAAAATCGAAAAATACCGAAGATGCCAAAGGATCCAAAGGTAATCCCATCCCATGCCTTCACAGGGTCGCTGGACCAAATTTGGGGTTTTCCAAAGTCATGGGGGTACCCCAAGTCATTGTGCAAGTTATTGGTTATTATCAATGGGAAATCCAATGGTTTTGGGGTACCTCCGAATAGTAAATGTCCATTTGGAAGTCAAACCTTACCTCCAAACCCAAAGGTCAGCAGCTCCTTGCCAGCTGCACTCGCCAAGATCGCTTCAAGGCGTTCGGAATCTGCGCGTGGCAAGGGCACCCACTCCCACTTTCGCTCAGAAGATTGGCCCACGCTCTCCTATAGCACGGCAGGGTAAATTCCGGACAGGTTTTGAGGTAACCTGACTCTGGTCAATGATTCATCAATGATCTAGCAATGATCTAGCAGCAATGATTTATCAAATACATTCATCTCCAAAATGGAAAAGAATGGAAAGGTGCAAGTGTCCTGCGCCAGCCACAGATATGGCGATTGGGCACCTGGTGAGGAAGCCGAACCTGGTTGCGTTGAAGCTCAGAGCTATGGAATTTGCTGACAAAAAGTTACCGCTTGATGTTGCCATCGCTGCTGTGACAAAAACTTCTTTGCATTTCTTTGCCCTCTTTTGCATTGGCGGATCGCAGGGCATTTCGCCGAACCCAGTTTTTTTTAGCTAAAAGAAATCTTCCCAGATTCAGGACTGGATGCGATGTATGTACAACGGTCAAGTCTCAACCAGACTTCACCAGACTCAAAGCTGCAACCACCTCAGAGCAGCTCCAAAAACCATGGCACTGGATAGCACAACCACTCTGTTTGGGCATTGCTGGGCATTGCTGGGCATTGCTGGGTATTGCTGGGCATTCCGGCCAAACACCATCCGATGCAAGGTTCATGGTCCGATCTGGTGCGTTGAAGGTCTCTTTGAAAACAGCCATAGCCTCAATCATTCCAAACAGGTTCTTTCGAACTTTGTTTTGGCCATAGGGCCGAGAAGACCTGAATGAAAACAACCTCTCGAGCTATTGGGTGGCAGGCCACAGTTGGGAACATCCAGCTGAAGTCGTGGCCTCTCATCATGAGGGTCTATGAGACTTGGACAAAGATGACCAAGCCAGTCCGTGCACCCCTTCAATCAAGAAAAGAAAACCCAATAGAACCAGCATTGACCCCAAACTGCTTGGTATCACCAATGGTGATAGCCTCAAACCACCAATAGTTTTCATAGCTAGACAACGGGATTGGAGTTCTGGCTGTCCAGCTCTGAGTAACTGCCAGTTACTACCGCTACTTAGAAGTTTGCAGAGAAGTCCCAACAGAGCGCTGTTGGCAATCCATGCAACTAGCTGTATACATCTGAAGTTCGAAGCAATCAAGTAGTCTACGCGCTCACAAAGAGTGCCAGAGTCTTGTCGAGTTAGCATGAAACAAATTTACCCCCGACCCATCACCCTTCTACAAGTGAAAGCAAACTTACCAACCAAAAGAGAAAGATAACGTGCAACCTGCATGCTACAAGTAACACGACAAGGAGTTCCGAGCAAATCACATACATTGATATAGATTGGTCAAGTGAAGCCAGCGCCTGCAAGTTCAAAAATATCCTATGATGTATATACAGTACCTGAGAAGGGGTGGAACGAAAGCCAGCGCTTGCTTTTTGACTCGCGCGGGGGCGCGTGAAACTCCACCTCATCCATATGGCATGGCTCAAACATGAAGCGCCCCAACATCAACAATTGCTATCGGGTCATAATTTTCCAATCATTAAATGGACCTTTTTAGGGTAAACTCCGCGATTTTGTAACTTCTATATCCAAATATGTTTCCTACAATGTACTGCGGCATTGTGAAAAGTTCTATCTCAAGTTCCGTAAATCCGCCTTTGGTTGCTCATTTATCTTAAAACAGCGCAAGTTTGCTCCCACCTATTGTAGATAAATAATACCCGCTTTTTTGTGTGAACAGTGGTCATGTGACCTCTCAAAGTCTAAATTGTTTTCTCCCCAGAATCGTGGTCCATGCTTCTCCGCGAAGTTCCGCAACATTTTGGCCGTACGGTGAGAAATCAAAACATAGCTCTACTCGCAAAATGGGCAGTGCAAACCCAAGACAATATTATAACATACGTAAGAAAGGGTATAAGAACGAATGAAAATCGAGGAAAACAATGCAAAACCCACGGGAAATATAGAACAGTGGCGAACATGCAGTCCAAATCAAAAGTATATATATTTAGGCCATTTACAGACCTGGGTACCCCCCCCCACCCCCCAAGGGTCTGGAAAATAGGTATTTTACAGGAAATGTCGCGGAATAGCATCATCCCTGACATCGATAGAGATAATTGTTTGGCATCCCGGAAAATCTTCTCAGCTATCACACTCGCCAAACATCCCTTTTAAAAGTCACACATACTAGCACGGACGTACAGATGCATATCATTCCCGTCATTGCCATTAGAAGATTCAAATTCTTTCTCGATGTTTTAGTACAAGATTCACTTTTAGTTCCGTTTCAGCCTTCTCAGTACGGCCTCTTACAATGATATTACAGCATTTGTCTCCTAACCTAGGTGGCTCCTGGGCGCAATCTTCATTCCAATGCTTTGTGACAATAACCAGAGGCCTGGAGCCTATGCATCACTTGACAGTCGACTCAGTTCTAAACCGGAAAGACTATTCCTTCCGTTTACCAGTAGATCGTTTTTGTAGTTCTTATCACAAAACTACCAGAATCAGGGAGGCACCAAAAAACGTCAAACACTTTTAAGCATTATAAATACTCTAATCTGCAGATTGTATTTATTTTTCTTACTCTGTGAACGAAATCACACTTTTCTAACTTCACACAGATTACCATGAAACCAATTTTTCCATGCAACTCCTAAAATCTTACAACTCATACATCTTTTTTCCTATACCATCCGCATCTTGCTCCAAGGTTTCATGGCAATGTCTTGTACGCGAGTCAGCCACTATTTCCTATCACCAAACTACATTGCTCATCATCTAACATTATCTACAGAAACCAAATCGGATTTCCTGCTCAACGTTTCCGCTCGTTAACATTGTCTTGGTTTTCACTATATTTTTAAAGCATTTTTAGATATAACATTTTCCTAGGTTTTCACTGTATTTTTCTAACATGTTACATGCCTCCTAGCATGTTCACGCGTGTCCTCCATGTTGTACTGTTTTCTACATCGTTTCCTCTAGTTGTTACAAGCATTTCCTAGCTTGTACACCGTTTTCCTAATATTGTCACAACTTTTTCTTCCAGTTTCCACTGCTTTTTCTACCGTTTCCTGTGGTTACTTTCTTCTCTTTTGTAGGTTTTCACTGTGTTTTGTCCAGCTTTTTTTATTACATGCTTCCTACCATTTTCACCGCTTTCCTCTATGGCTTTTTGTACCATTTCCTCTCGTTTCCTGCATTTCATGCATTTTCAATATATTTTTCCAAGAGTTTTACCCGTCTCCTTCAGTTTCCAATCGTTTTTGCACCATTTCCTCTGGTTGTTATCGCATTTTCCTGCACTTTCACTGTCTTTTTCCAGCATGTTTACTGCATCGTCATAGTTTGTTCCTAGCAGTCGCTCCGGGTTTCCTCCATGTTCCAACAGATTTTGCACCCTTTATTCTGGTTATTATCACATTTTCCTGCCAGGTTGTTATCACATTTTTCTTCACTGTATCTTTCCAGCATTTTCCAGTGGATTTTGCACGATTTCCTCTGATTGTTATCATGTTTTCCTGCATTTCTATATCCTCTTCGTGGGTTTTCAGTCTATTCATGCATTTTTAATCTATTTTTCCAAGATTATTACCCGTCTCCTTTTTGCACCATTTCCTCTGGTTTGCTGCATTTTCAATGTATTTTTCCAAGAGTTTTACCCGTCTCCTTCATTTTCCGATCGTTTTTGCACCATTTCCTCTGGTTGTTATTGCATTTTCCTGCACTTTCACTGTCTTTTTCCAACATGTTTACTGCATCGTCATAGTTTGTTCCTAGCAGTCACTCCGGTTTCCTCCATGTTCCGACAGATTTTGCATGGTTTGTTCCTAGCATTTTCCTCTGATCGTTATCATGCTTTCCTCAAGTTTCATTGTATTTTCCAATACATCCTCTTCGTGGGGTTTCAATATGTTTTATCCAGGTGATCTATCAGTTCTTTCACACCTTGGAAAGACGTCCCATTCACCAATCAAACGGAGGTACAGTCATCCGATCTGCTGCTCTCCAACACATCTCTTACTTTCATTCGGTACCATGATCACTCCACTTCTCCAACCCTCTAGCTTTTAACGTTCTCCACTTGCACTCGTCGCAATACATTTTCCTAGCGTTCTCAACACTTCTGCCACTACTTTCGAAATCCGGGGGGGGGAAGCCGGTCTGTAAATTGCTATATTTTTGTCCACCAATTTCCAACACTTTTCCTCTTTTTTAACGTCGTTTTCGCAGATTTTCCTGCGCGCCACTGGTCTTTCCATCGTTTCCGCTCGTTAACATTGTCTTGGTTTTCACTATATTTTTAAAGCATTTTTAGATATAACATTTTCCTTGGTTTTCACTGTATTTTTCTAACATGTTACATGCCTCCTAGCATGTTCACGCGTGTCCTCCATGTTGTACTGTTTTCTACATCGTTTCCTGTTACAAGCATTTCCTAGCTTGTACACCGTTTTCCTAATATTGTCACAACTTTTCTCTTCCAGTTTCCACTGCTTTTTCTACCGTTTCCTGTGGTTACTTTCTTCTCTTTTGTAGGTTTTCACTGTGTTTTGTCCACCTTTTTTTATTACATGCTTCCTACCATTTTCACCGCTTTCCTCTATGGCTTTTTGTACCATTTCCTCTCGTTTCCTGCATTTCATGCATTTTCAATATATTTTTCCAAGAGTTTTACCCGTCTCCTTCAGTTTCCAATCGTTTTTGCACCATTTCCTCTGGTTGTTATCGCATTTTCCTGCACTTTCACTGTATTTTTCCAGCATGTTTACTGCATCGTCGTTTGTTCCTAGCAGTCGCTCCGGGTTTCCTCCATGTTCCAACAGATTTTGCACCCTTTATTCTGGTTGTTATCACATTTTCCTGCCAGGTTGTTATCACATTTTCTTTCACTGTATCTTTCCAGCATTTTCCAGTGGATTTTGCACGATTTCCTCTGATTGTTACATTTTTTCCTGCAGTTTCTATATCCTCTTCGTGGGTTTTCAGTCTATTCATGCATTTTTAACCTATTTTTCCAAGATTTTTACCCGTCTCCTTTCCTCTGGTTTGCTGCATTTTCAATGTATTCTTCCAAGAGTTTTACCCGTCTCCTTCATTTTGCGATCGTTTTTGCACCATTTCCTCTGGTTGTTATCGCATTTTCCTGCAATTTCACTGTCTTTTTCCAACATGTTTACTGCATCGTCTTAGTTTGTTCCTAGCAGTCACTCCGGTTTCCTCCATGTTCCGACAGATTTTGCATGGTTTGTTCCTAGCATTTTCCTCTGATCGTTATCATGCTTTCCTCAAGTTTCATTGTATTTTCCAATACATCCTCTTCGTGGGGTTTCAATATGTTTTGTCCAGCATTTTTAAACTACATGTTTCCTATCATTTTCACCTCTTTCCTCCATAGGTTTTTGCACCATTTCCTCTGGTTTCCTGCATTTTAATACCTTTTCAATATTAATATTAATCCAAGAGTTTTACCTGTCTCCTTCATTTTCCGATCCTTTTTGCACCATTTCCTCTCGTTGTTATCACATTTTCCTGCACTTTCACTGTATTTTTCCAGCATGTTTACTGCATCGTCATGGTTTGCGCCTAGCATTCGCTCCGGTTTCCTCCATTTTCCAAGGGATTTTCCATGGTTTGTTCCTCGCATTCGCTCCGTTTTCGTCCGTTTTCCAGGGGATTTTGTACGATTTCCTCTGATCGTTATCGTGTTCTCCTGCAGTTTCATTGTATTTTCCAATACATCCTCATGGTCTTTCCGGCCACCAAAAAGGCGGACCTAGGGGGAATCGATACCCCACCGTCAGCAAATTGCCTAGTGGTACATAATCCAGCAAAATGCTCCGTTTTCTCGCGCTCAACACAGGGGCACGGCGAGATTTCGTTCCCTTTCGGCAACCACCCCCCCCACACCCCCTATTCTCACTTCGTTCGCAAACAGCAACTAGCCAGCTAGCTGGCTTTCGTAATATACATATATAATTATATATATATATGTAAATTACATATGTGGCACATAAACTGCCATCTTTGCCCACAAGAGGGTTGAGTCATCTCCCAGCGGGTCCCAGCCGGACCCAGCCTGACAAGATCCCACCTCTTCGCACCTTTGGCTTCCAGGCCATCACATCATCCAGCACCGCCTGACATCAAGGAACCAACGAGAGCAACGAACCGCCTGAACCCATTGGTCCTGCCTCATAGTCGTGACGAGCATCAAGGAACACAATGTCCAAGGACTCATCTGCCTTATCACAAGTAAAATCAAATGGCATGAGAGAACACAACGCAAAAGTAAAGAAAACCATTTAACATCAAAACAGTTGGTTGTTCATATAAAGCGAGAACAGTGAGACCCACTCCACGAAGAGCGATGCATTCAAAGATGTGTTTCGGTACAGAGTAAAGCGACCTGCAGCAACTGCCACTGCAAGAGCGTAGTTCCAAAAAGTAGTCCCACAGCACTCATGATGCACCCATGCCTGAATCAATGAAGAAAGACAGGCGCTGAAGAACATCCGAATATAGCGGGTCGTTCTTGAAATACGGGTCGACGCCTCAAAGCTCAAAATAGGCAAAGTGTACCCAAGGTCAGCAGGAACTCTCAATGTGGCTATCTCCATCATGTCAACATCATGCATCCAGGCTTTGGGAATGTGTTGCGCCTATGTATGAGAGGAACGGATTTCGCTCCAAGAGCCTCTGGCTCGTATTCGCTGCCTCTGCGTCAAAAGACCAAGTGGCAGAAGTTGAGAATCACAGTGTGAAGACTGAGTCATAACAAAATAAAGTAGGCCAACAGCTGATTTAAATGCCTTCAATCCCAGCCTCCACACCCACTTCAGCCATTCGAACGGCATGATCAGAAACACCCAGTGAATCTAACCTCATGGAACAAACGGTCTTATAGAAACATTCATCCTGCCTGCCCTGTGGGTTCGTTGCTAGGCTTTCCTGCAGATGCGTCAAGGCGTCCCACCTCTTCCCAGGAATTTCATGGAAGACCTGAATCAGTGGAGCGAGGAAACCGATAAACAACTACTAGATCAGATCACAGTTTGCTTTCAAAAACACGAACATCTAACAAGATCAAACATGTCATACGTAAAGAAGAAGTCGTGTTGGTCGAAGTATACAGTGTCTTTCAAGTGTCTTTCAAGTGTGTGGAGGTTTCCTAAAATGGGGGTACCCCTAAATCATCCATTTATAGATAGATTTTCCGTTAAAAAGACCATCCAGCTATTGGGGTACCCCCATCTAACACTGGCGAGGCGCAACACGCAAGCTACTGGGATCTCCATAAAGCTCATGGACCAGGTCGCGGCCAACCAAACGTCCTGCGCTGTGGGCCAGGGTAAAGCCAGCCTAACCTGGGCCTAAACGACTTGATTGACTGTGAAGATTGTGAAGATAGATAGATAGATAAGATAAGATTAGATTAGATTAGATTAGATTAGATTGGATAGATAGATTGATTGATAGATAGATGGATAGATAGATGGATAGATAGATAGATGGATAGATAGATGGATAGATAGATGGATGGATAGATAGATAGATAGATAGACAAATATTAATAGAATTTTATAGATGGAATGAATTGCAAAGTCTGCATAGGCACAGTCCATTGTGCTCTAGCTGCGCAATGTAGAAGTTCAGTAGCAAAGTGACTGAGACCTAATGCATCCGTGACTTGGCTGTGGCTCTGGATGCATGGATTTCCAGCGATGACATTGCTCTGGACAAGCGCCAAGGTCTACGCATTCTCAATCAACAAATGCAGCCGGCGTGCCAGGGTGGCTGCCTATGATTCATATCACTGACATCACGAAGGACTCCACCAAAGAATAGTACTTCAAAACATGCAGGCGGGACCATTTCAAGCACCTGTTCTGCATTCAGCGGTTCTCTTACTATGCCTCTGTCCAGAACCTGCAAAACACACAGGCTCAGTTGCAGAATCTACTTCCCAAAGAGACAAGCAGCCAAAATTCTTTTGTAAAATGCAAAAGTGAAAGTTCCAAAGTGTGAAAGCCACTACACTAGACTAGTTCCTGAAAAAAAAATGCCAGGCCTGATGTAGGCTCTCCAATACCACTGCAGCGTGCCGTCGCAACACTGCTCGCGTGCTGTTGGCATAGACCTGAGGGCGCCCTCATGGACTCTGGACCCCGGTTCCTTGTAGTTGCATCTCCAGTTGCATCTCCAGTTGCATCTCCCGGGCACCAACTGGCAAGTCTTGCAAGTCAGGCGGTGAGATCCCGAAGGAATTGGTAAACACCTGCAAAGCAGGAGGGATCGCTACAGAAATATCGCAGAAACTTGGTTTTGCAGGCTACAGAAATGTAGAGTTTCAGGTTTGTTTTATCTGAAATGGGGTACCCCATTTCCCGCCAATCATCATCATTGTTCCCGTAAAAATTACAGAAAATGTGTATATTATATATATACATAAATTTGGCCCATATTGGTGTAAATTCCCCTATTTCCGACCCCTTCATGCAACTTATGACAAAAAAAGTCTGGATAGACGCAACTAAAAAAATACTTTACTTCGAGTGATAAAAACCTAACACACTATTCTGCCATATTGTCTGACATATCGTTTGGAGGTATATATGGCATATCGGGAGAACCTGTTTGGTCGCCCCAACGCGGTTGAACACGAACATTATTGGGGGGCTTGTGAAACATGCACAACTGCTGGGAAACGTGCACAACATCTCTGAAACACGCACAGCATCTCTGAAACGTGCGTATATATGTATGTGTATATATATATGTTCATATATTGTGCCATTCTATCGAACATTCTTTCTGGCAAACACTCTGATATTCTATCTGACATTCTTTCTGGCATACACCCTGACATTCTATCTGGCATACTTTCTGCATATATTCTGACATTCTTTCTGGCATTCTATCTCGCATTCTATCTGGCATCTATTCTGACATTCTTTCTGGCATCTTTTCTGGCATCTATTCTGACATTCTATTTAGGCATTCATTCTGGCATCTAGTCTGGCATTCTTTCTGGCGTTCTATCCGGCATGTGTTCGGGTCCAGGCGTGGCCCACTGCATCCAGAGCTAGGAGGACAGGAGTGATTCAGCGAAGACAGAGGTGAAGGTGCGACTCCCCCACCCTCACCTGGCAGGTGGGGAAAGATGAAACATGTTTTGCGGCATAATTGGTATCCCAAAAAATGTTCTCCCTGATTTTTTGCAGAAATGTTATGGGATACCACAATGGGATACCATAATGAGAAACATAATCCCTGCTTTTTTCTTTGCAGAATTGGTATCCCAATGGTTTCTTTTCCCATCAACCTGCCACAGCTGCTGCAGCTCCAGAACATGATGCTCCAAGAAATCGGAGTCCAGAAGCTTCACCTGTGACCATTGTGACCCAGACAGACCGGGAAGCCACGGACCCTGGGACCCTGTTTTCTGCCCTGGAAATGGAGCGGAAATGGGATCAAATGGGCCTGAAAAGAAGGAAATGATGAGAAATTCCAAGTGAATTCAACGCCCCAGTTGGTGTCCAAAGAATGAGCAAGATGATGATTAATCACTAGAGTTTAGGGGTATGTCATTTTTGGGGTAAATCCATGCATAGCAATGTTCGAAAGATGCTGAGAAACCCAATGTCAATGAGTCCACCCAAACCAAAAACTCTGAGATTGCAGACTCCAAGGTCAAACAAACCCAGAAAGAGCTCCTGACCAAAGGACAGGAATCTGGATGAATCTGGCCAGTGGAATCCTAACCTGATCATGCCATAAAGTGCGGAAGTGCGGAAGCAGTAGTCCTGCAAGTGGCCACACAGATTTTTGAATGGGGCCCAGTCGCTTTCGTTGGCATAGACCTGCAAAGCGATCAGATGGATCTGCATGGAAGAAACATCAGTATTCTCAAGCTTTGACTCAAGCGGACCTCCACTGGAGTTGACGTAGCAATATTGTCGCAAATCACACGATTGCAGTCAGCATCCTGGCAAAAATGTTTTTTTTGCACCATGTTCATTGCGAGTGTTGATTTGTTTCCTGAGTTTTGGGATATGGAAGTTGCAAATCGAGTGGCCAAAATGTCTGGTGATGAAACAAACTGCAAAAAAACACGTGGTACACAAGTCCTCGAGTAGATGCTTGCGTAAGCGGCCCAAGCAACCTTGACCTGAACGTCTTGTGCAGACCCTATTTCCCTGTTTCAAACACTCTTCCAAACCCATGAGTTCCAAGGATCCTGCTTTCGATGCCCAAGTTTCTTCCAGGCAATGCACCTGCAGACCAAGCAATTACCTGGTCTTTGCAATCAAAACGGAAGACATTAAATGTGAACCATTCAACAAAGTCTCCCCAATAGTTTTTCCATCCCAGTCAGAGGACAGAATTTTCCAACATGTAGGAACACATCTTTAGCACCAACTGTTGCACCCAGACCCATGCGCGCTGAGGGTTGAACACTCTTCTATGTGCAGAGGATACCGCGACTCAAAAGCTCCATCAGGGTATCTCAGCACATCCAAATCTTGGTTCAATCATCAATGATGGTGGACGGCTGAGGGATCGATGGATCGATGGCCTAAGCACACCGGAGGCAAATGGCAAAGCCAACAACCACGGCCTTAGCGGCTTGGCGGTTGGCAGAATTTCGGCACCATTTTTTACTTTGAGACATCCACATCAACCACACAAACACGAAACACTCAGGTGCCTCAAGCAAGTGGCCATTGCATTTTTTCATGATGACAGTACAATTTTAGCAAGCGGTTTGTCATGTTGGTAGTGCTCAATTCCCAAACATGATTGCCACTTTTGAAGTGTTGGTGTTCAAATTTCGCTGATTGTGAGGCTGCAAGTGGCTGTGCGCGCCAATACATTTGTTTGCATGTGTTCAATTGTCACTACCAGCGTGGTTAATGCTGCAATCATTTCCTCCGGTTTTTGGGCCTGTCCTTGGTTCCAATCGCTTGTATTGGTGACGCTGGGGTGATCTGCTACTGGAGCTGTCGACGCACTCAAAAAAAATCTGCACTCACTGGTTCAGTGAATCAAATTGATGTGTGTGCTATGATTCATTGTCGAAATTCCACAACATTGAGATGAATCAGCGCAGAACGGAGGCGCAACAGGTTGCAGACAGCGCGGACCACATCCCTCCCAGATCCACAGTCAAAACCGAACCCAGCCTGCTGCAGCCATTGCTCAAGCACAGAAGTCATGGTGAGTATCATCAACAAAAACGATCTGTTTGGCTACTCTCTCTGTTCAACACTCAACCGCAATGTTCAAAAAACATGCACTATGCAACCAGAAATGAATACATCCTTGGTCTTCAACAATTGCTTTGTTGGGCAATCATAAATCATAGTGAATGTGATCAGACTTTGTAAAATCACACACAAAAACGATGAAGTTGTCAGCACAAAAATATTGCAAGTGAAATGTTCACCAACAAACGTGATGTGTCCACACAAATGTGGCTAGGTAAGATTTAATGAGGGTCAATAGAACCTCAACACAAATGTTCAACACTTTTAGCACGGTCTGTTTGTTCCCAGAGCAATAGACGGGATCAAATTTTTATCCACTTTTTGTTGTGGCCCTTCATGCATTGGCATTGTTTGAAATTGATGTAAAAGTACAAACAACTGTGCGATTTATCAAGTGCAACCCATCATTACCGCAAGTAACCACCGAAATGATACATCAAATTATGGTTATAATGTGCATGCCATTTTGTGTTGATAAAACGATCCGTTTTGATGGTAGTTTCAAAGAAATTATTTGTTGTGGCGTGTAAAAACAATTAATTTTGATCTATGATGCATAAATTTCATTACAACAAATTATTTCATGCATTTTTATTGCGGGAAGGTTGGAGAACACCCAGATGTTGATTTTCCATAGCACTTGAGTTTTTCCACGCAATGACGGGTTCCGTGACACGTTTTCGTGACCCCTATCAGCCGGGCATCGCACGTGTATATAATGGAAAAATACTGCGCCTTATTGCGCCAACTGCATGGCACAAAATTCAATGAAATATTGTCACATGGGAACATCTGGTTACTCACTGGGTTTGGAGCATCCATGGTGCTGCTACATGCATGGTCATGTGACATGTATTGAAACTTCGAGGGAAACTTCACACCCCTCCATACTGGACGGTGGTTCGATTGAATCTGTAGGTTGAACACCGCTCTCGTCTTTGTCATCTGCCATTTCATGGCATCTTGATGATTGCAACTACATTTGCAATTTATTTTGCCAAACGTCTCGGCATGTTTTTTCGTGCAGTTTTTGCAATCATTTTTTCGGTCGTATCTCGACATTGATTTTGAAATATCCATCTCGTTGCCGCCACAATCCATAGTTTAGCTCAGATTTGATGGGAGTTTCCAACAAAAACATTGATTCCGAATTATTTGTTTTTACGGTTGTTTACCGGACTAGTGATTAATTGGTAGTAGCAGGACAAATTTGGATTTTGCACTATTTGAACATTTTTCCTAAATTGACATGATTTTTTTCAAAAAACCACGAATTGAAGTGAATTATCATGAGTTAACGCGAACTAATGTCAGTTATATAACGTAAATTAAGGCAATTTGATGTGAATTAACGTGAATTAAGGCCGAATTCACGTCTTGTTTTTCAGGATTTTTGGCATGTTTTATTTAAATGATTTTGGTTGATTGTTGGTGCATTACGTTTGAAATTTTTGATTGCATGGTTGAATAGGTTTAAATTTGGTTTGTCCTGGGAACCTATGACCACCTAGGCCAAGAAAATCCGCATAAATTTCATTGGGACAGGTGGCTTTCCAAGTTTCCCTTTGACTCAAAATTTGGAGTGCTCTATAACTCTAAAAAACATGAATTTTGGGTTCTATCCCGCGGCACTGCAGCAAACCCAGACAAAGGTGAAGGTTACGATCATCCATACCGGTCATTTAATTTATGGAAAGCATGAATGGATGGCAATTATACTTGGAACAAGTCAATGGCAAAAAAAATCAATAGGCCAAGAAAAATGCAGTATATTGATATATGTTTTTCTCTCTCTCTCTCTCTCTCTCTCTCTCGCCTCTCTCTCGCCTCTCTCTCGCCTCTCTCTCGCCTCTCTCTCACCTCTCTCTCGCCTCTCTCTCGCCTCTCTCTCGCCTCTCTCTC